TGATCATGGTTTGTGGGTTTGAGCCCCACGTTGGGCTCTGTGCTGACAGCTCAGAGCAAGCCTGCTTCGGATTCTGTGTCTCCCTCTCTCTGCGCCACCCCCCCACCCCCACTCGCATGCTGTGTCTCTCTCTCCCTCTCAAAAATAAACTTTACATTTCTTTTCAAAATGTTTCTTAAAAAAAATATATTTTTAAGTAATCTTCACACACAACGTGGGGCTCAGACTTACAACCCTGAGACCAAGAGTCGCATGCTCCATCAACTGAGCCTGCCTGGCACCCCAAAAATGTATTTCTTTTTTCCTTTGTTCCTCCCTTTCATTTTTTTTCTTTCCTCTTTCTTTTCTTCCTTCTTTCTTTTCCTTTCTCCTTGAAAGTGCAAGCAGAGGAAAGAGAGAGAGAAAGAGAAAAGGAGAGAGAGAGAGAAAGAGAGAAAGAGAGAAAAAGAGAAAGAGAAAAAGAGAAAAGAGAGAGAGAAAGAGAGAGAGAAAAAGAAAGAGAAAAAGAGAGAGAGAGAAAGAGAGAGAGAGAGGGAGAAAATCTTAAGCAGGCTCCGTGCTCAAGCATGGGGCCTGACTCAGGGCTCATTCCCACAACGCTGGGATCATGATTTGAGCCTAAATCAAGAGACAGACGCTCAACCAACTGAGCCACCCAGGTGCCTCCTAAATATATTTAATCTTAAAAGTAAGTAGTATAGCTTGCTATAATTATTGTAAAAGATAAGTGATGAATAAAATAATGTTTGTATTTATTATTTCTAGTTTTTGTGTAGGCACAAACTACAAAGTGTAGTTTGTAAAACTATGCAAGAACTGATCATTGGTTTTGGGAAAGCTATTCCTTATTTTTAAATTAATTAATTAATTAACCAATTTTCATGTATTTGTTTTTATTATTTTTTTTAATTAAAATTTTTTATCACTATTTTTTTTAATTTAAATTCCAGGTACTTTTTTTTTTTTTTTTTTTTTTTAAGATCTACTGGTTCAAAGCAAAAGTAGGAAACTTTCACCTTCTATGGTCTCTCTCCACTTAAACTGACCAGTATTCTTTTTCTTCTTCCCAAATTCTATGACATTAGTTAAGACTCTTACTAGGTTGCAAGAAAGGTACAAGCCCAGGGTGCCTGGCTGGCTCAGTCGGAAGAGTGTGTGACTCTTGATCTCAGGGTCATGAGTTTGAGCCCCACATTGGGTGTAGAGATGACTTAAATAAATAAAACTTTAAAAAGAAAGGTAAAGCCTATGTTATTTCGGGATGATGGCTGCCAACGAGGGAACGCTGGCTTTCAGAGAGGAAGAAAGCACTCCAGGGAAAAACACAGATGGAGGAAAAGCAATCTCTCTTCATGACCACGTCCTACCTTCTGCATTCTAGAACCCTTTAAGACCCAAACATCTGCTATCTGGGCATATCAGATGTGTCTACCGCTCAAAACGAAGACTCTCCCCAGTTCACACCACAAGGGAACTGAGACGCAGAAAGATGTCGTCACTGTCCAAGGTCACGTGTTCAGGCAAAGCCAGAATTTAAACCAGGCCGTTTGACTCCAGGGTCCAGGCTGGTGGTTACCCTCAGCTAGAAACAATTTACACATTAAGATACAAAGCAAACTGCAACTCCACAGCAGGTGATCTGAATCCAAATGAAAGATTTCCTGAGGTCTAATTTCAGGCATCAGAGAACCGAAGCAAACAATGAAAATATCTTGAGGCATATTTTGTGACTGGGACCCTTAGGGGGCCTTCCAACTTTGAAAGAGTTAAATCTGGTCCAATGAAAGACCATCTCCTGTTCCGGAAGTCAACCAATCAATCTGAAGAAAGACTAAAATTTCAGTACAATTTTATGAGAAGCTTGAAAATTGCCTGTTATTATTTACAATTTCCTAGTTTTTGTGAAATTCTAACTGGAGAGTTGACACGGGTCCAAGCCCGGATTGGATTTTAAAGAGACAACCTAAAATGGTTACCCTTCCCCCAAGAACAATAGGTTAGAGGATCCAGAAATAGACCTAAATAAATTAGGAAGTAAAATAAAGGTGGCATTTCAAGTCAGCAAGGAAACCATGGTATATTCAATGAATGATTCCAAGACAGCTAGTTAGGCATCTGGGGCCTGATCTCAGTCTAGTCACCAGAATAAATTCCAGGAAGAATTTAAAGCTAGGGGCACCTGGGTGGCTCAGTTGGTTAAGTGTCTGACTCTTGGTATCAGCTCAGGTCACGATCTCACGGTTCATGGGACTGAGCCCACTTTGGGCTCTGCGCTAACAGCGTGGAGCCTGTTTGGGATTCTCTCCCTCGCTCTCTGCCCCTCCCCTACTTGGTCTCTCTCTCTCTCTCTCAAAATAAATTTAAAAAAATTAAATATAAAAAATGAAACTATGAATTATTTTTTTAAACATTCAAATTTACAAAAAGCCATTCAAAGCTTAAGATACAGAAGCACAGAAAGAGTAATCAATTTGACTATGTGAATATTAAAAACACATCCATGGCCAAAAAAAAAAAAAAAAAGCCCACAACAAAAAATTAAATGACAAGCACACTGGCAGGAAATGTTTGCAATGTTTGCAGCATATTTGACAAAAGAACTAATTTCCTTAATATATAAGGAGTTCAAGATTAATAAAAAATGATCAACAGCCCAATTGCAAGTGGCAAAAGACACAGAAGGTTATTTTCAGGGAAAAAAAATATGAGAAATAAAAAGGCTAATAAACATATGGGAAAAAATCATAATTGAAGAAATGCAAATTTAAAACAATGATAAGCCATGGTTTGTGCTTCTTTTTAAGTTTATTAATTAGAGAGAGAATAAGCAGGAGCAGGGGAGGGACAGAGACAGAGGTAGAGAGAAAGAATCCTGAGCAGGCTCCACTCTTTCAGCCCAGACCCTGATGCAGGGCTTGAACTCATGACCTGTGAGATCATGATCTGAGCTGAAACCAAGAGCTGGACACTCAATCGACTGAGCCACCCAGGCGCCCCCAATGATTTACCATGGTTTACCTCCAACTTTAAGACATAATATGGTGGAAGTGGTTAAAACTGATGGCTGTAGAGTCAGAATACCTGGGATGAAATCCTGGCTCTACTCCTTCCTCGGTATGCCCCGGTTTCCTTGGCTGGGGTGGTTACGAGAGCCAAGTAAGAAAATGTAATGAAAAGCAATTAAAACCGTGGCTGGTATATAGTAACTATGCTCGTTATTGTCAGATTGACAAAAACAGGAAAAACATTAGTAATAGTGTTAGAAAGAGAGTGGAGGACTAGCCCTCTCATGCACTTCCAGGAGATGTACAAACTGGCATAGTATCTTTGGCAACGTGACATTGTCTACTCAACGTTCTAAATGCACAAGCCTTTTGACTTTCCGATTCCGGTTTAGGAACGTATCCTATCAATCCCGTACGTTCGTAAGAATACATACAGGTCTATCTATATCTATTCATAAAGATATATATGCATAATAGATTTTCATTGCAAGCACGTCTATAACAGCAAAAGGCTGGAAATAACCTAAATGGTCAAGTAGTTACGACAGCAATAGTAACCGTAATTGCCTCTGAGGAGCAAGACTGGGGGTTGAAGTCAGGTGGAGACTTGACATCCTTCTGTAAAACTGGAACTCCCCCCACCCCCAGTACATTACTTCTCCCATTAAACAACAACTAGTTAATTCTAAAAAATAAGAATGCGGTCATCAGATAATTACAACTCTATCAGAAGAGCGAACCAGCTGAAGGCAGAAGTTCCATGAGAAATGCAGTTGCTTAACTGTCACTGTGCTTTCAGGACCACGGATACCCTAGAGCACAGTCCTTGGTTCTTAATGGTATCACCCCAAGGTGTTGAGGACCGCAGGGAATGAGCACACACGTCCTTTCCAGACTTCAGGTTATCCCGGGGTTAACTGCCAGAGCCTACAGAACCACGGCTCTTTGTACCTCCAATTCTAGAAGCACAGGAGTGCTCTTATACCTGGTGTGTTGGTTGGGGTGATGACTTGGGTGGGGGTGGGGGAAGAGGAAGGGAGAAGGGACTGACGACTCTCCCTTATGACGCTCTCTTGGTTCTCCATCATTTCTTTGAACAACTGACTTTTTTCATCTTAACATCTCATGTATAAACAGACTTTACAACTTATGTGGCAGTGCCACTTTCTCATGAATTCTGACAACCCAGTAAATGGATATGCTGATGCCATTTTACAGGAGTCTCAGAGGGCTTGCCCAGTCCCACAAACATTAGGTTTGTGCCCTGGCACCACCACTTAATTCCCCAAATCTGGTGCCTTCCACACCATGGTTTTCTCACCATCCCTGCCCGATCTCCCCCCACCGGCTCCTGATCCTACCCCATCCCTGCCAACACCAAGTATCTGTGTTCTTAAGCCCTGAGATTCTAAAGTGATGGAGGAGACAGGAGCCATTTAAGGACAAAGGACAAGAGATGCTTTTTCCTTCTGGGGATAAATCTAAGTCGCGTTATAAAACATTATTTCTCTGTCTGAGAAAATGAAGTAGGGGACCTATAAACAGTTGCCCTAGTACTGAGTACCTCCTATGCAAGGACACTGTTTAGACACTTTGCACTTTATCTCATTTACCCTGTAAAGGGAGGCCCTATTATCTTCACAATACAAATGAGTCTACACGAGTTTAGAAGGGAGGGTGGTGCCTGGGTTGCTCGGTCGATTAAATACCCAGCTCTTAGTTTTGGCTCAGGTCACGATCTCATGGTTCAAGGGGTTCGAGCCCCATGTCGGGCTCCGTGCTGATAGTGCAAAGCCTAATTGGGATTCCCTCTCTCCCCCTCCCTGCCGCTCCCCTGCTCACTCTCTCTCAAAACAAACTTCAAAAAAACGTTTTTTTAAAGAAGAGAGAGGGCTGCTATTTAGCTAATTTTTTCATGTTTATTTACTCTGTCTCTCACATCCCTAAAACGAAAATGAACCTAAGTGTCACGGGAAAGGTTGGAGCAGTGTCATCCGAGAAATCGAAGAACAAGTAGAAGGGACCGGTAGTCCCGGAAGGTCAGCCTTCTGCAGTTGCCAGGCAACAAAGGTAAACAGTGAAAAGTGGCAGGATCATGGCCACCAACTACAGTGCAAACCAGGTAAGCTCTTTTCTCATCTCTAACATTTCATCTTGCCTTCCAGACTCCAAGTTTGGACTGACCCTCCCATGGGATTCTGATTACTGAATGGACAACTGAAAGTGTGAGACTATTTTTCACCTCCTTAGCTCCTCAGGGTAGAGGGCCCAATGACGAGCAAAAGGTATTTCAGGGTTAAGTTTGTAGGATCTAAACAAGAGATCAGCAAGTCTTTTTTTCTGTAAAGGGCAAAGGGATAAATATTTTATTTTTAGGGCCAAGAGACACAATCAGAGCTATTATGTGGGTACTTACATCAGCAAAATATTTTTCCATAAAATTTTGACAAGATTGAAAATATAGTAACTGCCATTTTTTTGGTAATACTAATGAAAAAAATGATTTTTTTTATAGATCGTGTTTATTTTTTTTAAGTTCGAGAGAGACTGAGGCAGCACCAGCAGGGTGGGGGAGGGAGAGAGGGAGAGAGGGAGAGAGGGAGGGAAGGAGGAAGGGAGGGAGAGAGAGGGAGAGAGAGAAAATCCCAAGCAGGCTCCGCACTGTCAGCACAGAGCCCAATATGGGGCTGGAACTCATGAACTTGCAAGATCATGATCTGAGCCGAAACCAAGAGTCGGGTGCTTAACTGACGGAGCCATCCAGGAGCCCCGAAAAAAATGGAATTCTTATGGGATGAGAAAACATTTTAGTTAATTGGGATACAAAGCTAGTGTTACCTTTTATCATATCAATCGCAAATATTCATCTATAAAAACCGTTCTTAGCTTTCTCAGGTCATCCCAAGACAGACTGAAGGATGGGTTTGGCCCACGGGCCAGTTTGCTGACCCCTGTTCCAGACCAGGGGTCCCCAGTAAAAAGATAATGCGAGTCGCAACGTAATTGAAAACTTTCTAGTAGCTACATGAAAAAAAATTTAAAAAATCAAATTAAGTTTATTTTGAGAGAGAGAGAGAGTGTGTGTGTGTGTGTGTGTGCGCGTGCACGTGACCAGGGGAGGGGCAGAGAGGGGCAGAGAGAGGATCCCAAGCAGGCTCCGCACTCTCAGCACAGAGACCAATGTAGGGCTCGATCCCACGAACCAGGAGATCATCACCTGAGCTGAAATCAAGAGTAGGATTCTCGGGGCGCCTGGGTGGCGCAGTCAGTTAAGCGTCCGACTTCAGCCAGGTCACGATCTCGCGGTCCGTGAGTTTGAGCCCCGCGTCAGGCTTGGGCTGATGGCTCAGAGCCTGGAGCCTGTTTCCGTTCTGTGTCTCCCTCTCTCTCTGCCCCTCCCCCATTCATGCTCTGTCTCTCTCTGTCCCAAAAATAAATAAATGTTGAAAAAAAAAAAAAAAAAGAGTAGGATTCTCAACTGCCTGAGCCACCCAGGTGCCCCCGAAATAAAATTAATTTTAATGATACACTTAGTAAGTCCAAAATATTATTTTAATGTTTAATCAGTACTTTAAATGTCTGCATTCTCTTTTTTGTACTGTCTTCATTGTATTTTCTATTTCCAAAGCACCTCCATTCAGACTAGTCACGTTTCAAGTGTCCACTAGCCACATGTGGCTAGTGGCCCATGTTGAACAGCACACATGCAGACCAAGAGTACATCCCTTCTACAGTGAGTTAAAGCCTTCAGGTCTTTGGTCCTCCACTCTCAAGGACTCGCCTAGTTATCATTTCCTGGGCATGGGGCCTTTGAGCCTCACAGAGATTCTCGTCTTTCTCTCCACAGTATGAAAAAGCTTTCTCACCCAAGTATCTGCAGAACTGGTCTCCCGCCAAGCCAACAAAAGAGGTATTCATGGGCAGGGCTCCTGCAAGGCCGGTTTCTGATTCTTTACCCCATGTTCTCTGTCACTGACTGGCACGGAACTCCTTTAGCCTGTTCTAAAGTCTACGACCCTCCTCTCCCTCAGCCCTTACCTCAAGCCCCTAGGACACCTTCTCTCTTTTCCACTCCATTTTCACAAACACTTCTCTCCTCGCTTCTCCCCTAGAGAATTTCTTCCCACGAAGGCTACACTCAGTTTATCGCCAATGATCGTGGCCATCTGCTGCCCTTGGTGCCCCGTTCCAAGGTGAGATACTGATCTCCATTCCTACTGAGAAAGGTAAAGAACTGAGGCACAGAACTGGGGTGACCGAGACTGGAGGTTTGCAATCTAGCACAGCCACTATCTGGAAATTAAAATTCCATCTAATTCACCACTGCAACACGACCACCCCCAAACTGCCAGTTTATCCAACATGACAGAGTGAGCACCCAGAATTCCTTACACTGATGAACACCTTCACGTGATGATACTTATGCAGTGGGCACTCTGCCAGACTTAGCCCAAGGACACAGGATTTAATTTAGGCCCTCAGAGTTAATATGCTGAAAAAACCAAGAGTGGCCTAAATGAGAAAGGGGGTAAAGCGAGGGTGGGGAGGCTGTGTCTCTGACTGATTTCGTCGCCACGCCTCCCGAGGGTACAGGGTGGAAGGGAGACAACAGACCTGCCAACAGGTGCGGTACTGGGAGTGGGGACCCTGCCGCAGGACCGCGTCGTCTTCCTTTTAGGCAAGTCCTTGGGGATCCTTCATGGGCACCTGGCAAATGCCTCTGAAGGTGCCCCCCGCCCGGGTGACCCTGACCTCCCGTACAGTGGCTGGTGCTGCCTCCCTCACCAAGTGGATACAGAAAAATCCGGATTTACTCAAGGCCTCCAACGGGCTGCGTCCTGAAATCTTCGGCAAGGTATCTATTCCTCCCACCCAACCTCAAATCCTATTATCCCCCGCTTCTTTTCAACCTCAAAAATGCCTCTTGTTACGGAATCACTATCCCAGCAGGGGGAGCCTCTAACCAGCTCTGTCTTAGCCTGTCTAGTCCCCGTCTTCTGACACCTAAGGAGAGGAGCTAATGACATTTTACGCCCCCCCCCCCCCCCCCCGTGTAAAATGACCTGATCTGACCTTTTGTCCATGGTACGGGGAGAAATGGAGCTAGAATTCTAAGGATTCTAATGACCAGAAACGATCTAGGCCTGACCAGAAACATAACTCTTGTATTCTACCCGACAGCCTCACGACCCAGACAGTCAGAGGAAACTCGGGAAGTGGATCACAAAGACCGTACCACAAGCACCAAGTCCCATCATAATCCCAAACTCCCCACCTGTAAACCTCAGTTCCCCAGACCAACCCCAAAGCTCACACCCCTCTGCAGGTCACACTCCAGGCCCCCAAAGCCCAGCCATCTCTCCCAAGAGCCCACCTAGGAGCCCACGCATGCCGGAGCATTGGGCAGGTCCAAATTTAGCTGAGGTCCAGACGTACAAACCTGGAACTCCGGAGACACCCAGGGACCCCACTGAGAAAACCTGTCTGGAAACGGAGTGAAGGAAGCAAGACCCCTGGTGAGGGATATAGAACGGGGAAATTTCAGGGTGGGAATAAAGGTACATTTGGAAAATAAACATCATTTATTGAATCTTTTAGTGACTTGGATGTTTTCCTTCTGTTATGGTTGCCCCCGGTAACCCATTAGTAGGAGGAAACAGCATAGGAATAAGAACATGACAGTGGCTTGAAGTGGAATACGTTTTTACACAGGTTGAGTCACTTATACTCCAAAAGTGACCAAGAGTAAGTTGGTCTGAATCATAGCAACAGAAATCTCAAACCACCAGTCCCTCACTGCCACCCCTCATTTTTCACCCCGAGCATTCCTACTACAACTTCTGGGTCAGAAGTATAGGCGCTGAGTAGAGGCTGCATGCGTGTGTCTGGAGAAGATGGGGAAGAAAAGGTAAGGAAAGCCAGATACGGGCAGAAGACACTACCCTTGTGCAAGACTTCACACCTGAGGATGGTGAACACACCAGGAAGACAAACTAGAGAGAGCTATAAAAGTGAAACTCAAGCAAACGTACATCCATAGTTTGAAAACTGAAGATACAAAAGTGATTAGAAGACAGAGGGGGCAAAAAAAAAAAACCCTAAAAAACAAAGAGAGATGGTAAGTAGGAATTGAGGGCAGAATAACAAGCTTGATGGCCACTGGACCCCAACCCCAACCAGTCAAATGGTTAAGAAGCCACCAAAAAAGTTAAGATCCGCTTCCCGGCTTCTAACACCTGTTTACCATTCTCCTGTTCTGCATCGTCCTGGTGCTGACTGTTCAATGCAATGCCCTTGCCGAACCTTTCCCGGTTCCGATGTCAAAACCTTCCCTCATGGACATTTGTCCCTCACTCCAAGGACAAGGACAAAGGACATACGGTTTAAGCGGGAGGAAGGCTACAAAGACTCTTCAGGGCTAGTTGCACAAAAAGGGAGAAGCGATCAGTGTGGAAAGCCAAAGACCCCTTGGGGGCCGGGAGGAAGACTCTTGTGGCAGCAGGTCCCCGCGGTCTTGGCTTAAGCGAGGTCTTCCTGCCCAACGGCCACCAGTTACACAGTCCCTGTTCCTCCTCTCCAACCCACAGCATTAACCAGTTGGCCAACAAGTCAGACAGACAAGACAGATGTTACCCCTGAGTTTCCAAAGAATATCAAAACAGCACTCCCACCAAGGGAGTTAGGGACCCAAGAGCCTGGCTCATATAGATTTTCAAAGCAGCAAGTCTTCCCATTAAATTATAAATGTTTGCCGGGTCTTGAATAGTCCCTCCTGTCTCGTCTCTGCCCCCCTCTCTCTCCCAGTCTATGTACCCAGCTCATGATCCCTCAGCTGCCACCTCTGGGGCTCTGGCTCCCTTCCTGGCTCACAGTGTGCTGAACTGCACCAGGAGGGTTATAAGCAGTTCTCAGCGGGATTCTGGAGCCTGTGGTAACGCCGAGCTTCCACATGCTAAGCTTCCTTTCTCTTGCTCCTTCCGTCTCTGAGGCTTCTCTATGATATTCAATCTCTGGCTACTTGCATTTGATTCCCTAAAGACTGTTCCAGTGGTCAGTGGCAGAGGGACGAGCGGTTTCCCTCCTGTGAAAGGTCAGATTGGGGGATGTGAACGCCTGAGAGCAGAGGGAGTGGGGAGGAAACTGGCTCCTCCCCGACCGCCGTTCTCTGGGTTTCTCTCGATTTCAAGGAGAGTCAAAGACAAAACGATTTTTTTAATTCAGTTTCAGAAAAAGATGCCCTACGAACTTGGATCAGCAAAGAGGCTCGTTTTTCCAGAAATGCGGGGGGGGGGGGATAATCCTTCACACGTTCATCGATAACTTTCTGGGTCTTCCTTTTGCATCAAGAGCTGTGTATCTCCCCCCCAGAGCACCTGCTTCAAGAGTCAACTGACTCTCTTTATCTCCCTCTGGCTGGGACAGGCTAATTCCCCACCACCCCCACCCCTCTGCTTTCGGTCATGCTGTGTGGGCGCTGAAGACCCTGGGCTCTGACCAGTGAACAGAACTGTCCTTTAAGCTAGCAACCCACAGGCGGTGGCGCCCACAGCCCCACTCCCGGTCCCCGTGGCAGAGGCCACAGAGCTGGCATTGTTTCCACTGTCTCAGGAAGAAGGAGCCAAAAGCTGACCGTCAGCACAAATCAAGGCCCAATATGGACAGAGAATGAGGGCTCCCAGGCCCGGAGTAGGCTGTAGGCTGGGGGCAGGAAAAGGGAATTTTTGAGTCATTCCATCTTTAGAAACGAGGGGAAACTGGGCCCTTCCCCACTGCCATGGCTCTATAAGGTATCTACTGCTACTGAGCTCCAAGGGGATGTGCGAGCACAAAGGGTCTGAGGAAATCAGGAGAACTGCGCCTCGGCTGGAGAAGAGAGTCACCAACAGGAAGACAGGTCAGTGAATCATTTATGGGAAGACAATGCTGGGAACTTCACTCTTCACATGGCTGCCAGCCCTACAGAGGACAACACAGTAAGAACCAAGACAGCCACTCCAGACTGGTACAGCTGGGGGATCTTCAGACCTTTCCCGAGGTCCCACATCTGCAGAAAAAAGAAGAAAAAAAAAAAAAAAAGAAGGAGAAGAAAGCAAGCAAGAAAGGATTTCAGCAATCAGGGTCCTGGCTACTGTCCTTTCTGACACAGGAGCCCCACCTCATGGAGGGCAACCGCCCTCAGCCCGGGTCAAGGGGGAAAACGCTTCTCTCACACCCGACCCACCTCCACCTTTCTCAAAGCCCGTGCGACATGACACCCACCACCCCCTTCTCCCGGGGACAGGAAAGGCATCCTCGGCCCCTACATACAGAAGCTTCTAGACTGAAGAGATGTAACTTTCCCTCGTGACACCACCACCAAATCAGTGTTTCCCCAAGTGAGTCCCTCCACAAACTAGTCCCTCAGAATGCTGAAAGTTACTGCACGAGAAAACTTCTATGGTCAAGTGAATTTGGTGGCCGTTTAGCTGCAAGACTTCTGAAACAACTTATTGACGTACAGCGCGAAGCTCCACAACGGGGGCGCACTACACGTGATTCCTCAGACACAGTGGCTCACGGGACCCCCGCTGAGAAGTCACATCTGTCAGAGAACCAGTACCCTAAGAAAATACTCTGGGATCTAGACCACGATGTCTCAATTCTGTTTGTCAGTACATTTATAGCGAAAGTTCACGAAAGAATAAGCGATATTTATCATTAGCGTGTGTGTGCTACATTCTGTATGCCGCATCCTACTAAATTCCTGTTTTGTTGTTTTTTTAAGAACCTCTATGCCCAATGTGGGGCTTGAACCCACGACCCTAAGACCAAGAGTCACACTCTCCACTGACTGAGCCAGCTGGGCACCCCTAATTTCTGGTTTTGTGGGTAATAACCCACTAACCTGATTTTCTACCCATTGCAACAAAAACCAGGGGTTTAAAAACACTGATCTCGACTCTCTTGTACCCCAGGGACACTAACATACTGTACTCTGAGTCACTAAAAGATCCCCTAGGGCAAAAGCAGAATTTCTAGGTTCTACACTTTCCACACTTGGCTGCCCCCTGCACAGTACCAACGCCCACACTGTGGGTTAAGCTAAGTCAGGAGCACTTCAGAGAAAAGTCAGGGAGAGCCCAGCGCGGGGTCAGGGAGTAGGAGTCAGGCCTCTCTCTACCTGGACCAGATTAGGAGTCAAGCAGATTCCACATAGAGCTGTTCTGCTTACATAGGAACGGTGTTTTACCAAAAAAACCCCAAAACAAAACAAAACAGAAAAAAGGAGCCCTACTGGCTGGTAGTGATGGAGGGACACTCTCAGAACGCCAGAGACCCTGTCACTTCTCAGTCTCCTACATCAATGCCACTGACCACGCCCCATCAGGTCTTCAGGGAAGGCAGCTATCAGGCTCAGAGAGGCTCAGAGAGGCTCAGAGGGCGAGAGCTGGCACTGCCGTGCAGAGTAGACCAAATCCTGTCCCACACTCAGAGCCAGCACTGGCCACAAGAAAAAAAATAAAAGCAGATTTAAAGGGCTTAAGAAAAGCCTTTAGGCTCCCCACTGTGTCAACAAAGAGATTACCATTACAGGCAGGAACCAGGGCAGAAAAACCTTGACTGCATTCTGAGATTTTGCAAGACCTCTTCCCCTAACCCCCCCTCTTACTGAGACCAGAGCAGATACATGGCAAACCCCGCCTGAGCCAGGATGTGACCAGAGGAAACTGATCGGCTGATTTTCATTAGAGAGATCTGTTCTGCGGAATAAGAAGTCATTAATGGAAATGCCCTCCTTCCCTATCCCCTCCCAGGGGGCAGTGAAGTCATTGTGAATCAAACTGGACACCACCCCAGGGAACAGTTGATAGATACGCTTAATTAAATAGGTCATTCAGTCCCTCACTTTTCTGATTCCATTCAAGTGTCTTTTGGACCAGACTGAAATTTAGAAAGTGCTTGTCTCTAGACTCTGATGTGGAAGGTTTAAAGGTCACATTAAGGCAAAAGTATCCATCTGGCAGATGACTCAGGTTCAGAAGGAAGGAAGATGAGAAACAATGGAATCAAAATTGTCTTCCTGTGAAAGAAAGCAAGGCTGGGGTAGGGAGATCACAAAATCTTAAAACACTGGAGGAGAGACTAATCTCTGGCCCGGGGCAGGCGTGATTAAGCTTTAATCCCTTTATAAAATAGAGACGGAAACACTAGTTTTGAACTGACCCAAAGGTCACACAGGAGGCAACACCAGGACAGCTTTTAGGCCATCAACAAATTTTTAACCCCAATATTAAAATCTGGGATCCTAGCTACCCAGCTGCTGTTAAAGGTGGCCCCATTCTCTCTAACAGCTTAACAAAAGACCAAAAACAGTTCGGGCATCTGGGTGGCTCAGTCGGTTGGGCGGCCGACCTCAGCTCAGGTCATGATCCTGTGCTTTGTGGGTTTGAGCCCCGCGTCGGGCTCTGTGCTGATAGCTCGGAGCCTGGAGCCTGCTTCGGATTCTGTGTCTCCCTCTCTCTCTGCCCTCCCCCACTCACACACACACTCTACCTCTCTCAAAAATAAACACTAAAAAACAAAAACAAACAAACAAAAAAAACAAGCACTCCACC